TGACCGAGGTAGACCCCCGGGGCTGCAGGTCTGCACGTCTTGGTCTCTGGCTTCCTTCGTCAGCCCTGGAGGCGCAGGTGGGTGTGGCTGGTTCACAGCTGGGTGCAGCTGGGAGGAGGCGCTAAGTTTGTTGAGTGAATGTCTGAACGCAAAGCCCGGGCGAAAGGTCGGGGCGCGGGACCTGGCAGGGTCAGAGAGCCCGGCCCCTGCGCCGTGCTCCCGGCCCCGCCTCCCTCGGAGGGGAGGAGCCCCTCGGGCAGGGCGGGACCTGGGGGCGTGGCTTGGGCCTGGAGGGGCGTGGCTGTGGGCCGGGCCGGGAGTAGGCGTGGTTTGGGCGGGCCGGGCAGGGCGTGGGCGTGGTCTGGGCCGGGCCGGGCCGGGCCGGGAGGGGCGTGGCTGCGGGCGGGCGGCGCCGGGCTCCCTCCCTGGGAGCCGGTTCCCAGCGCCTCGCATTATTACTCCATTAGCGCCTTGTAGGGTTGACAAATGAAGGATAATTAATATCCGTGAGGGAAACAGCTGTTGAGGTAATTCGCTCCCGCTGCGCATTTGCAACAGCGGCTCCTAACTCGCCCGGGAGCTGAGGACGCGCCCACTCGGTGCCCTTGGTCGGGGTGAGCGAGTCAGGGCGGGGTTGGCTCCACTGGGCCCGCCCTGGGGAAGGGACACCTGATTGATTTTGGTGTCCAAGAGGGACAGCTGCCAGAATTCCCCTCTGCTTGCCATTGGGAAGTTCTGCCTGTGTCCCGCCTCTGTACCTCCTGCTGTACCATCAGCCCATGTTTTCCTCGTTGGAAGGGGTGATGACCAGCAGGAAGGCTCAGCCTGAGGGAGGTTGGGCCCTGCTCCCCGCTGCAGCCCACCAACCCTCTCACCTTCGGGAGCCAAGAAGCTCCCCTGTGGCCCAGCCAGCTCTGGGTGACCCTTTGTGGGCCTGGCACACAGTTTCAAGGGTGAGAGTGCATGGAGTCCAGGCTGGGTTCAGTCCTCAGCTCTGCCACTCACGGTCGGGGGCTCCTGGACCATCCCCTCCCCCCCTGGAAGTGGGTGCTGTGGGGAATGTGTCCTGAATGAGCAATTCACCTGGCCCCTGGCTTGGGGTGATAAGCAGGGGCACCCACCCAGGGCCCAAAGCTGGGCTCCCCCCCTGGGAGCTGGGGCTTGGCAGGAACAGGCCAGCCTGTAGCCACAGAAGAGAGGGACCAGCAGAGCTCAGGGCTGGGCCTGGTCTGAGGCCCCCAGACAGACAGTGGATGTGAGATCGTAGAAGGAAGTGGCTGGGGAAGGGGCTCACTAGCCCAATGTTGGGGACTGATCTCCATCACTCTGTCCAGGAGGAGCTGGGCTTCTTCCAGCCATGAGAAGAGGCCAGGGAGGACGGAAGCCCCTCCCACCACCACCACCACCCTCTCCAGAGACTCAACTTTCTGCTCCTCTTTTCTAAAACTGTTTTTCAGTGCTGGGGATTGAGCCCAGGACCTTGGGCATGCTAGACAAGTGCTCCACCTCTGAGCTACACCCCCCATCTTTTTCTCTAAAACTTTTTATTTTGAGTTATAGACTCACAGAAAGTTGCAAAAATGGATCATAGAATCTCCTGTACCCTTTGCTCGGCTTCCCCAATGGTGTATCTTACTTAATTATCCAACTCCTTTTTCTCTCTGAATTGAAAAGAAAAAAACCAGCAGGGTTATATCCATGGCATATTTAATCGTAAGAGTACTAATCTGGAAACTACCCAAATGTCCATCAGCAGGTGACTGGATAGACAAGTTAGGTGGTCATCCAATGGAATAGTACACACCAATGAAAAAGAACTGACAGACATATGTTCCAACACAGAGCTATCTCATGATATTATGTTGTGTCAAGGAAACCAGACACAGCCAGGAATCCCCTATCAAAGAATTCCAGAAAGACTAAGCTCTGGTGATAAAAGTGGCAATAGTGCTTGGCCCTAGTTGGGGGTTAGTATTGACAAGGGAGGGGCACCAGGGAATGTTCTAGAAGGCTGCAGATGTTACATGCCTTGCTCTGGATGGTTGCTACACAGGCATACAAAAAATTTCATCAAGCCGTGTGTACCTAAGTTCAATTTTAAAATACAAATTAAAAACCCTGGGCTGGGGCTGTAGCTCAGTGCACCTGCCTTGCACGTCTGGGGCCCTGGGTTCCATCCTCAGCACCACATAAAAATACATAAATAAAGACATTGGGTCCACTCACGACTAAAAAAAATGTTTTTAAAAAATCCCAATCAAATAAAACCAACCAACAAAGCCAAAGCTTTACAAAGACAGACATAAAAAACACTCTTGCCCCGGCCCTTGATAGCGTCCTGATATATTTGCAGTCGGTCTTTATTTTAAAGAACTAGTGCCTTTCAGGTGAGAGGACTTCACCTTGACTACCCCAGGCCACCGCTCCCTGTGCGGCCAGAGTCACCCCTGCGAGGAGGCTGAGGAGGCGCTGGGTTTCCTTCTGTTTTTGAACCTCTACATACAAAAGAAGGCGGAGCCGGTTTGTTTACATGCATGGCCTCCACCACGGAGCCCAGGGCCTCGTGTGCTAGGCAAGCTGCCCCTCGCACGCTGCGAGCTGTGCCATTGAATGGGCCGCCGGTTTATTAGTCATTCTGTTGATGGACAGTGGAATCGCTTCTACATTTTCCTGTCTGCCTGTCTCTCGGCGGGGGTGGAGGCGGGTATTGGGGGTTGAACCCAGGGGCACTCGACCCCTGAGCCCCATCCCCAGCCCCACTTTGCATTTTATTTAGAGACAGGGTCTCACCAGTTGCTTAGCGCCTCGCTCTTGCTGAGGCTGGCCTTGACCTCGCCGTCCTCCTGCCTCAGCCTCCTGAGCGGCTGGGGTTGCAGGCGGGCGCCACCTGCTCATTTTCCCCTTCTTTTCGTTTGCAACTTAACTCGCTCTCGTGCACACCTTGGCTGCCCTCGTGGGAGTCCCCGGGGTCCCCACGTTGGGCTGGGCCCCGGGTGGCGCTCCGCGGCCCCGCCCCTGCCGCGGGCGGACGGGTCACGGTCTCTCTGTCGCCCCCAGGTGGTCAAGGTGGTGGGCAGCAACATCTCCCACAAGCTCCGGCTGTCGCGGGTCAAGCCCACGGACGAGGGCACCTATGAGTGCCGCGTGATCGACTTCAGCGACGGCAAGGCCCGGCACCACAAGGTCAAGGCCTACCTGCGGGTGCAGCCGGGCGAGAACTCGGTCCTGCACCTGCCCGAAGCGCCTCCGGCCGCGCCCGCCCCGCCGCCGCCCAAGCCGGGCAAGGAGCTGCGGAAGCGCTCGGTGGACCCCGAGGCCTGCAGCCTCTAGCCCGCCGCTGTACAGAGTGCATGAGGGCCGCCGGGGCTGGGGACAGGACTGCCTGCGGCCGCCTCTGCCCAGCACCCGCTCAGCATGTGACCCCGCCCGCCCCCCAGACCCCGCTCCCCGGCTCGGAGAAGGGGTCCAGGGCTCCAAGGGGACACGCTCTGGGCGCTGGGATGGGGACCATGCCAGGCCTGGGCTTCCCCTCTCTGTCACCAGCTTCAGTGGAGTCCCGTGTTTTGCTTTGCTTGCTTGTCCCCACCCTGTCCTGAGCCGGGCCTCCCAGCCTTATCGCCCTCCCTCCTGTGGCCCCTCCCCGCTTGGCCCTGGGGTGTGGACAGTGACCCCTCCCGACTCTGGCCTCGAATCCTCTGAGCAGAGCTTGAGCCTCCTCCCTGGTGAAGAACTGGGGCGGAGCCCCCAGGAGGGCCTTTCCGGGGTGCGGTGGCCCCGCAGCAGGGCCACTCCCAGGACCCTGGGAGACGCGCGGGGTGCCCTCGCTGAGGCCCTTCCTGGTCAGCATCCTATTCCTGAAGACGCCCTGGCTGTCCTTCCAGGGCGGTGGGATCCAGGGACCTGCCTGATCACATAGCCCCTGGGAGGTCCCCGCTGCCCCAGGGCCCCATGCAGAGTCTGCACCAGCAGGACCCTGTCCAGGGTCTTGGAGGCTCTTAGGAGCCCCCCTCTGCCAGCCCCCAATGTCCCAGCCCCCTCTTGGATCCTGCCAAGTCTACGCAGGGGCCTGGGACTGTTGAGAGCCAAGGGCCCCCCTCCACCAATTCCCTCACCATTCCAGATCAGGGGGACGCCCACCCTGGTGATTTGTAAATATTTCTATTGGGCCCACCACCCCACCCCCACCCCGGGAACTGGCTCAAACCTCTGGCCGCCCCTCAGTGATGGTCGGGGCGTGGGAGAGGCCCAGGGCTTGCCTAGGGGTGAGTGGGTCGCTCTGTACACATGATCCAGTCTGTGACTACCAGCCACCTGAATAAAGCTGTTTAAAACAAATCCAGGCAGCAGCGTCTTCCTGGGGGATTGTCAGATGGAGCAGGGAGGTGACAGACAGCCAGTCCCCACCCAAGCAGCATCTGTCCCCATGCAAGCATAGGAGCTGGTGGGGGCTGGAGGAGAGTTCCAAGGAGAACCTACATTTGTCCAGCTCTAATCTAATTACCCGGATTATTATTTGATTCTGAGATACACATCCAGGAGGGAGCACACAGCACGTTTACATTGTTTTGTGAATAATTATAAAGAAAACACACACGTAGCCACCACTTGTCAAACATGTCACCCGAGAACAGATACCCCACTAGTCCTGTGTTTCTTCCTAATCATTTCCCCTCCCTCTCAGAGGCAAACACAATACTGACGTTTTTTGTGTTGTGTTTTGGTACTGTGGGTTGAACCCAGGGGCACTTACCTGCTGAGCCACATCCCCGGCCCCTTCTAGTTTGTATTCTGAGTCAGGGCCCCTCTAAGTTGCTGAGGCTGGCTTTGAACTTAGCTCCTGAATCAGCCTCCTGAATCTCTGGAATTACAGGCACGTGCCACCACGCCTGGCTACACTATTGACTTAAGGTAATTACCATCCCAGTATTCTTTTTATAGGTTTAATACCTATGTGTATGTCGATTTAAACAAAATATCTTCCGATTTGTTCATTTTTTGCCGACTTGTCTGCCCTGCGGTTGACAGGAGTGTGGAGTGTGTGCCCTTTGGGCCATTACCACACACGCTCTGGCCCATGAGTCCTGTGTCTTGGTGCAAGCCCTGTGCGTCACCACAGCAACCTCCATCGCACCCTGAGTTTTCAGATGAGGACACGGAGGTTCAGAATGGACGGGCAGATGGATGGAGACGCGAGCACATGGCTGGGGACAGGCAGGGCACTGGGCCTATGTAGAACACAGATGTATCCCAGGCTGTCTGGCTACTCCTCAGGCCAGTAGCTAGTCTTTATCCAACAAATAGGGTCCCTTCAGAAATTTCCAAGAGCAAAGCTGGCCCTGGCAGGCCCCGGTCCTCTGAGAGGGCCTGGGGGGACCTGGCTTGTCTGGAGTGACAACAGCTGTCACCCAGCCCCAGACCGACTCTGCTCCAGGTGAAGGGCTTTCTACAGGAAATGCCCAGATTCCCAGGATCTCATCGGAGCTGCCCGTGTCCCCCCTCCAGCCCCTTTCTCCCCTGGAAGGATTTTTTTGCTCCCCTGGGAAGGTGGACGGGCAGGGTAAAGGGCCTGGGTTAGAACCCCGCCCCTGCCCCCCTTGCTGCAGGGCCTCAAGCAGCGCCCCTAACCCCTCTGGGCCTCGGTTCCCTTTCTTGTCGGCTTCCAGGGAAATAAATGCAAGTCCAAACCCAACTGAGCTCACACAGAGCAGCGGGGCTGGGATCACAAAGGCAGTGAGTGCTGGTGAGGACGGAGAGGAGCAGGACCCTTCACGCGCTGCTGGTGGAGACTTGACCCAGCGGCTGCTGACAACCTCAGACAGGTCCTGGGGGTGTCAATCACAGGGGACTGAAGACAGACGTCTGCACAAACCCCGTGAAGGAATATTCAAGCAGCATTGTCACGACAGCCCGGGATGGGAAGAACACACACGTGCGGGCACTGAGGGGTGGCCAAATAAAACGTGCTCCATCCAGACAGTGGAGTATTATTTGGCAATAAAAAGAAGAGGTATTCTGAGCCACGCTCCATCACAGATGGACCTTGAGAGCATCGTGCTGGGTGAAAGCAACCAGACCCCAAAGCCGCCATACAAGGAGTCATACGAAATGCCCAGAATAGAAAAATCCCTAGAGACGAAAGTCAGGTGGGGCATCCCTGATGGAGGCGGAGCGAAGCGCCTGCTAACGCGCACGGATTTCCTCTGGGGGCAATGCCCGTTTCTAGAGTCGACTGTGGTGGCGGCTGCCCAATGGTGTGAACAGACTGAAAGCCACTGAGCGGATTCCCCAGATGGGTGAGCGGCCGTGGGCTGGGAATTCCATGTCAGTAAAGCTGTCACCAGACACAGGGTGCTCCTCGCCGCGGCCTGTGCGCATGTGCCCGCACGGCGCTTGGCAAGCGCTCGGCAAACCGCGGCTCCTGTGGATACTGCTGTGGTCTTATGTAAAGGCTAGAGCCACGTTGGGCTTGGCCTCAGGGTACCACTGAAGGTGACCGCTGGGGGCTGGGAGAGGGTAGAAAAACACAAGGGGGGAGTTCCTGAAGGTGGTACCCAGGCCAGTCCCGGAGGATCAGGAAAACCTCTGCGCACCGCCAGGGCAGCTGCAGGCCTCCGTCCCCTTCGTGCCCCAGCATAATAACCTGGGGAGGACCAGGGGTGTGGCTCAGGGGTAGAGGCTCACCCAGCTGCCTAAGGCCCTGGGCTCAAGCCCTAGCACTGCAACACCCGAGGGCCCAGGCGGAGTGGCATGCGCCCAGAGTCCAGCTACTTGGGAAGCATGAGCCTGGGGATTCAGGGCCAGCCTGGGCAACGTAGTGGGGTCCGTCCCACACAGAAAAGAAGAAGCTGGGGCCTGGGGCTGTGGCTCAGCGGCAGAGCGCTTGCCTAGCACAGGCGAGGCCCTGGGTTCGGTCCTCAGCACCACATAAAAATCAATAAGTAAAATAAGGTATTGTGTCCAACTACAACTAAAAAATAAATATTAAAAAAAATAAAGAATAGCCTGGGGCAGGGTGGACTGGCTGTGAAATTCAATGTTCCGAGCCCCTTTGGGCCTCTTGGCCTTCAGACTTCCACTTCTACAGACAGCTTGTGACCCCGAGGTAACGATACATCTTGATGACGGCTCCCCATGTTTGTGTGTTTTGTGGTGTTGGGAATTGACTCCTGGGCTTTGTGCATACTAAGCAAGCACTTTGTCACTGAGCTACATCCCCAACCCTTCACATGGGTTTTTAATGGCTGTAGATCATCCCATCAAAGAGGCAAAGCAAGATTTAGCCAGTCCCCAAATGATGAACACTTGGGTTGTTTCCAACTGTGTGCTCTTATAAATAATGTTGCAATCAACTTCCTAGATGATCAATCTTTGCACATACCTGCAAATACATTTGTAAGATAAATATTATCTAGAAGTTAGAATTTCTGGGTCAAAGGGTTTATGCTTTTTTTTAATTAATTTTTTTAATATTTATTTGTTTGTTTTCAGTTCTCGGCGGACACAACATCTTTGTATGTGGTGCTGAGGATCGAACCCGGGCCCCCTGCATGCCAGGCGAGCGCGCTACCGCTTGAGCCACATCCCCAGCCCGGGTTTGTGCTTTTTTAATTTTGGCAAATTACTTTCCATAGAAGTGGGACCAATTTACACACCCACAAACAGTGTGCAAAAATGTGTACCTGGTCCTCCCCCCACACACACCTCAGAGCCAAGTGTTTTGATCCTGGGCCATCTGCTGAGTAGGCTGTCATCTTACAGTGGTTTTGATTTGCAGGTTTCATTTTTACCCTTTTCCTCCCTTCTCCTCCCTCCCTCCCTCCTTTCTCCTCCCTCTCCTTCCTTCCTTCCATTTTCTCTCTTGTGCTGGGGGTGGCCTGGCTATGCTAAGCCGGTGCTCTACCACTGACCACACCCCCAGCTCCTGTTCTTCGGAGTGAGACTGGATTTTTTTTCTTTCCTGCTGGGAATCAATCCCAGGGCCTCAGACATACCACCCAAGGCTCTGTCCCTGAGCTACGTCCCCAGCCCTGCATTTAAAAACAATTTTTTTTTTAAAGAACCATTTGTACTTCTTTTTCTGGGAACTGACAGCTCAGAATCTTTGTTTCTTTTTCTATTTGCTTGTTGGCTGGCATCTTATTGATTTGGGGCAACTCTGTGAGATGAATTTCAAATATTTGTCTATCCCTTTTTTTTTTTTTTAATTTTAACTTGGCTTTTGGGAGTTTTTTCCCAAGTAAAATATTTCTTATTGTTAAGTACTCTATACCCATTTATCTTTTATCGTTTCTGAGTTATCTTTCACTTATATAAATGTAAATTTGACCTTTGGGAATTTAAATTATTTTATGGTATGATGTAGGGTCCTGATTAATTTTGTCTAGGTTTTTAATTTTTTCTATATCATCCCAGTTTCATTTATATTTTTCCCACTGATTTGAAACCCCACCATTATCATACCCCAAACTCCCACCAGAGTTCGGACTGACTGCTTTTCAAAACTTTTTTCTGCTTCCTTCATCTCGTTCAAGAGTCAGCACCATACTGCTTTAGTTACAACAGTTTTGCAACAAATTTCAATGTATTCTAAGACCTTCTGTTTAAATTTTGTTTCCAGAATTTGCCTACATTCCTCCTCACTTTTCTATGTGAACTAGAATCATCTTAAGTAGTTAAAAAAATCCAACGGTTTTATTACATTAACTTCATAAATTAACACAGCAAAAACTTGCATATTCATGGTTTATGTCTCAACGTTCCCCTCCCTGTGGGTCCTCTCACTTTAAGATTTCTCTTTGTGGGCTGGGGTTATGGCTCAACAGTACAGTGCTCACCTCGCACCTGTGAGACTCTGGATTTGATCCTCAGCACCACAAAATCAAAAAATAAACAAGTGAAATGAAGTTGTTGTGTCCAACTACAACAACAACTAATAATAATAATAATAATAATAATAATAATAATAATAATAATAAATTTAAAATATTTTAAAAAGATTTCTCTTTGTGTGTTTCTTCCAAGAGTATTTTAGGAATAATTTGGATGTTTGGATGAAGAGAAAGATGTACAAATGCATAGACGTGTGATAGGCATGTGGTTTGGTATAGATAGTGTGTTTGCGAAATAAAAATATGTTCATTGCAGAATCAAGGTGGTAGGTTTATGGGTGTTCTCTGTACCATTATTTCAGCTTTTATGTTTTATGTTTTAATAATGAGCCTTTGAGGGAAGAGAGAACATTTAGAAGTTTTCTTCCATGCTGGGCGCAGTAGCATATGCCTGTAGTCCCAACTACTTGGGAGGTGGAGGCTTGAGACCCTTTGAGCCCAAGATTTGGAGACCAACCTGGGCAACATAGTAGGGCCTCATCAGAGATAGATGAGAGGAAAGAAATTTTCTTTCTTGAACCTTTTCTTGTGGTTGTCACTGTTGGCTGATGTTGTCTTCTAACAGGTTGTTGTTTATATAAATGTGAAGGCATTTGGTTTCTGTATTTTAGTTTTTGAGTGTGTGTGTATGCTGAGGATTGAACTCGGGGCTTCATGCAGGCTAAGCAATGCTCTACCACAGTTTTTGTATTTTAATTTTTGTATGCAGCTACTTTCTTGAGTTTTTATTGTTTGTAATAGTTTTTTTTGCTAGATTTCCCCTACCTACATCCCAGTCAGGTAAATGATATCTGCAACAAGATTAGCTTCCTCATTTCTTCATGATCTATATACTTTTTATTCCTTTATCTTGTCTAATTGCATTGGCCAGTAGCACCAAAACAATATTAAATGACAGAACTGCTAGAGGACATATTTATCTTGCTTTTAATGTTAGTGTGAATGCTTCCTTTCTTTCCAATGCTGGCTTTGAATATGTCTGGAGTCTCCTGTGAATGTTTTAGGAGATTCAAACCTTATTGACGAGGTTCCCAAACACTTCGATGTGAAAGTCCATTTTAAGTTGGCACATCCAATCCAGGTCCCAGGAATATGCCTACACCCCTACCCCAGTCCTCTGCCCAAGGGGGAAAAATTTTGGAGTGATGTTAAGTGCCTTGCATTAGTCACCTTTAGGTACAACTCTGGAAGCTAATGGGTGCAATGTTTAGAACATAGGCTTTGGTGTCTGACAGATATAGGTGCAAATCCCAGCTCTGCCACCTCCAAGGTATGTGACATTAGATTCACCTTCTTTCCCTAAACCTCAAAGTTTCCTTGGAGACTTTCCCAGGACACTGTGAGCAGCATCTGTCACAGTGAGGTTGCTCTCTCTCATTTACCAGCATGGGGTGGGGAATCTGCACTGCTAGTGAGCTCCCTAACCTTCTGAGTTCCCTGATCGTTGGATACCCCCTGTGCACTCCCAGTTGTTTGAAAAGACAGACCCGAGCTGAGAGCTGTGGTGGTTTCTGAGAGGTGGGAGGGAGGAGATACCTCCTCAGTGGCTGACTATTTGCAAAGGGCAAGTATCACATCTGTACCTTGAAACACATAAATGTTTAGAGAAAACCAATCAGGAAACAAAAGTAAATAAAATGGGGGAAATGAGAGAAAGCCAGGGTTGGCAGGAATCCTAGTATGTGCGCCATCTGTCATCTGAGTCCCCTTGACAACGCCTCCACCTCGCGAGCTGAGAAGCACTCTCCTGAAGGAAGCCCTTGCTGACCGGCTGAGGCAGACCCTGGAGCCCCGTCTGCCACCCTCCTCCTGCCTCCTCCACCCTCTTCCCACTCCCACTTTTTTTTTTTCCTGCTTCCTTTAGTCTTGATTTAGTTGGGGCTTCTGCATTCCTATCAGACCCCCTGCTTCAGAAAAGACTTGCCTAGTCTCAGTGTATGACTCTTGATTAGTGGAAGCCAGGGGTTCTCAACACGAAGTTCAAGGGCTCTGTGGATTCCCTGCATGAGGTTTACGAACTTGAATGGGCGGGGGGGACCCTACATTTTAATTTTCACTAACCTTTAGCATTTCCTTCTCCTTGAGTGTAAGGAACAAGCCACAGTAGCATTAACTTTCTTACCAATAAAATCACAAATATTCTTCGTATCATAAAACCCTTGGTTGCGGGCACCCCAGAACATTGTTTATGCTCATTGCTGCTTTGAAATTATGGTTGTTTTAGATCGGCTGTTAGATTCTATTATTTATTGCCTTAATAAAGAAACACATTTATTCTTGTATGGTACTTTAAAAATATATATTTTGAAAACTGTATTTCAGTATAATTGGTCTCCTTTGTAGTACGTTCTTTTGTTTTATTTATTTATTTAATTTTTTTATTTTTTCAGGGCTGGGGACCAAACCTGGGACTCTCGTACCAGCGAGGAAAGTGCTCCAGCGCAGAGCCACACCCCAGCCTTGTTTTTCCTCCTGTGGTTACAATGATTCTGAGAAGCCTCCCACAGCTTTGCCATTGGCCAGAAGAGGCCGAGGCGCCTGACCTAAGCCGATCCTGACAGTTCCACTGTCCTAGCCAAGGCCGGCTTAACAATCGTCATGTGATCCGGCGATGGCCAATGAGGTGTGAACCCTGCTGGGGGAAGGGAGTCCTGGGAAAGTTCCTTGACTGTTAAAAAGAGACTCTCTTGGTGTCTGAGCGAGGGAGGGCTGGGAATTTCTTCCGCCACTGGGCTTCCATGAGGAGAGCCGTGATCCTTGTAGATGGCAGGGATGACCAACGGGAAAAGCCTGGGACTCTGAGGATGCCGTGGAGCTGGTGGCTGAGCCAGACTCAGAGCCACCCTCCCTTCAGACTCATGCTTTGACCAATACACCTCTTAAAATCCAGGCCATGGTGTCCGTTGTCTGTCGCATGCAGCCAAGAGCACCCCTTTGAATCTACTGCAGGGACCAGCTTGACATGGCTGCAGCCATCTTGGTTGTAAGTGCCTTTGGCTGGCCAGGGGACTCTGGCGTGCGTTCCAAACCCTTTTGGGCAAACAAAGCCATGAAGATGGTTGCCTGGGTGCTTAGGCCAGCCGCTGATGCCTGGACTGTTTCTTAACGGTCGCTTGATGTAGTCATTGGTTCTGGGAAGGCCCGGTACATGGTGGTGCCGCAGCCCAACTTTGTCTAGCTCGGCATACAAACCCCTTCCATGTGACTTGGGGTGCGGGACCCTCCTGTCTGGTTGCCACCCAAGACACGCTTCTGTCTGTGTCCCTCTCTCTTTTTCTGTTTCCCTTTTTTGTACTGGGGTTGAACCCAGGAGTGCTTTACCACTGAGCCACGTCTCCAGTCTTTTTTTTTTTTTTTTAAATTTTGAGACAGGTTCTTGCTAAATTGCCAAGGGTCTCGCTAAGTTCCTGGGGCTGGCCTGTTGTAGGGACAGACGAGGCAAGGCATTAAGGACAGCAGGAAACAGTTTTATTTGGCTGCAGCCAGGCTCAGAGGGCACAGCTTTTGCTGTAATCAATCAATCCCCTGAACCCCGAGTTCAGGGAGTTTCAGAGTTTTATACCCGGTGTGTAAGGGGAGGGGCTCAGAAGTTCACAGTCTGCAGAAGTTCACATAAAAGCAGCTTTTTCTTTCCCTGTTCAGGGCAAGTTAACCCTTCAAGGACAACACCTGAGTAGGGAGAGCTTCTTCTCCCCTTTCTTTCCTCTCCCTGACACCTGTTACCATGGAGCCCAGTTGGAAACTTCTCTTAAAAATGTAGACATCTCTGTGAAGCCCAGCTCAAGGCCAGAGGCCTTACGCATTTCTACAAACTACTCTACTGGACACATGTTTGTGAAAACCTAGTAAGGGGGTGTCCGGCACCTGGATGCTGATTTCTTCCCAGCCAGTGGCCATGTAAAACAGGGCAAAACGAAACTAGGAAGTTTGTCTACATTGGACTCTTGTAGAGACTCTTTTGCTGACGGTCCTAAAATCAGCCATGGTGGAGATTTCTGGAGAGGCCCAGTTAAGACTTTTCTGTGGAGAAAGGGGGTGACACTTCAGGCCTGGAGCCTGCGTTGGCCTCCCCAGTCGCTAGGTTGCAGGCGGGCGCCACCACACCTGACTCCTTGAGCCTTGAATAATGTGCGGTCCTGGATTTCTCTGCCTCTCGTTCTGGTCTGTCAACATCTTCTTCCCTCAGTGGCTCTGGAGTTTCCAAACACCTCCAGGCTACTTTTGTCCCCTCCCGTTTTCCGCAGTTGGTCCTAGACATCACTGGGCGACCTGGAGGAACAAGCAGGCTCCTCCTTCTGTTATCTGGGTCACTCAGGTCCTCTTTTCTCAAGGCTGGGCATGGCCAGGTCCTTCCACTAGGCTCCAGAGACTCCGTCTCCAGGCCTCCACCCCTAACCTGGTGTCCAGCTGTAGCACACAGTAGAATCTTGCTGATGGTTGTTACCACTAGCTTGTTAAAACCCAGACTTCTGGGCCTGACTGCAGAGTTCCTGAGTCAGTAGGCCTAGAGTGGGGCCCAGTAAGCTGGGTTTCTAACAAATCCCCACCCGATCTGCTGCTGGTCTTGACCACGACAGTTTGAGAATCGCTGGTCTAGGGCCCTATGAAAACACAGTTCCCCAAAATGACATTGATACTCAAGGTGAGCAGAGGAGAGCTATCACCTCCCTCCACAGAGAGCATGTTGCCGTTGCCACAGCCCAAGCTGCAAACTGCTTACTGCACCGTTGAGCTCTATCTCCACCCAGACTCTAAAACCCGTTTCAGACTCGTGGCTCCTGAACTCTCTCACTAGCCTAAAACTGGGAGGTATTGCTTACCACGTGCTTACTGTGTGCCAAGTGCTTTAATGAGTTATGTCATTTAATCCCTCCAAGTACTTTTGAAATAGGCAATGATCACTTTCTGGAGAAAAAGAAGATAAAAACTCACCAAGCTCATCCTGTCAGTAAATAATTTAAGAAACCAAAGATGTGCTTCTGCACTATAGAGCTCCATAATTAAGAACAGTCCTGGGGCTGGGGATATGGCTCAGCGGTAGAGCGTTCACCTAGCATGTGGGTTCACCTAGTTCATGCTCACCTAGCATGAGACCCTGGGTTCCATCCTCAGCACCACGTAAAAAATAAATGAGTGAAATAGAGGTATTGTGTCCAACTAAAAAAAAAAAAAAAAAAAACAAAAGAAAGGAAAAAAAAAAAAGAACAGTCCTGCTCAATAGCATCTATCAATCAGCTGCCCTTTGGGGCTCAAGACAAATTTGTCTACTTGTGCCTCATCTAGCTCATTTCTTTTTCTGGCCCACAAGGTCATTCCATGATTTTTGTCAAATGCTAAGGTTTCTTGAGCCAGCCCCGCCTTATCTCCTTCATCTGTCACTCAGCCCGTCCACTGCCCTCACCCCTGACCCCCAGCAGAAGGAGGCAAGACTTGCTAAGTTGCATCTGGAGCCACACAAATTTGGTATCTGAAAGTGTTAACTGTGGGCATTTTAATAGAGACAATTTTCTAAGCTTTATCTACATAAATGTTCCAATTTAATATGCAAATAGACTGCAGATGATTTAGGGTGTGCAGGGCCTTTATTGTTCTGGTTGCAATTCTGGTGATTTAGCCCATAGCTTTGTGGTTAATAATTTAGTAAGCAACCTTATTTTTTCATGTCCTTGTGTCCTCATGCCTCATCTTTTTCCACATTAAGGGACTTGGTCCTGCATGAAGTTTTGGTTTAATGAACAATCAATCCTTGGATAAATGTAACTGCAAAAGAACTCCATCCAAATTCTGGGGAAGGCTTTTTATTGTTATCATTAGATTTGCATTTTTTTAGTTAATTGTTTTATTTGTTCCAATTAGTTATGCATGATAGTAGAATGCATTTTGACATATTGTACACAAATGGAGCACAACTTCTCAGGGAAGGCTTTGAGTTCAAGAATTTTACCTTCTTGGTGGGATTTTTGCTTTTATCATAAATACATTGTCTATCTTTATCCCCATGGGTGCTTATTGCATTATATTCTATTTTGCCCAATATTAACATTAATATTTTTTCAATTAATGTTGTTACTTGAAGAGTAATGTTTTCTCAGTTTTTAAAATAGCATTTTCCTAGGAATTTTTTTAATGTTTATTTTCAACATTTACTGTGTCATTATCTTAGTATATTTCATATGCAGCTCATAGGTGGATTTTTGTTATGTTTTTAAAAGTTTCATCTCATAGTCTTGACCTTTAATAGATAAGTCCAATCCATTTATATTTATTGTGATTGCTATTTGTTTGAACTTTTTTTATCATCTTATTTGGTGCAGATTTTCAATTACTAGGATATTTTTTTGATGGGAAGAAGGACTATGTGTAATTATTTTGATTTTTTTCTTCTTTCTTAACTTTTGAAGGATAAAGTCCTTTGTCACCAGATTCCTCTAACTACCCTCTCATTTAAATGCTTATAAAGTACATTTCTTTGGGTGATTACATTTTAATTTTTTAACATAGTTACTTAACCATATATTTGCCTAACAGTGCTAAGTTGTTCATTGTCTCTATTTTCCACCTGATAACAAAACAGCCTGAACAGAATGTACTCACAAATTGAACTGTTCCTTCCATCTTCTTTACTATTGTCTAGAATTCTAATTCCACTGTTAATCATTAAAGTAAATATTTAGGGCCAGGGATACAACCCAGTGGTGCATTCTTGCCTAGCATGCACAAAGCCCCTGGGTTCAATCCCAGAACCATAAAAATGAATAAATAAATATTTATATGGTCAGAAATTAATTCAATTTACCAATGTATTCATTCAGTTTCTTTACTTAATGCTTTCTTTCACTTTTCCTTCTGCTGAAGTACATGCCCTAGTAATCCTTTCAGTGAAGGTATGGGTGGTAAGCTCCCTTACTTTATGAAATCTAAAAATGCCTGTAGTTTGCTCTCTTTAGTATTAATTTAGTTGTATTTTTTAAAAAATATTTATTTATTTATTTTAGTTATGGGCGGACACAACATCTTTCTTTGTATGTGGTGCTGAGGATCGAACCCGGGCCGCACGCATGCCAGGCGAGCGAGCTACCGCTTGAGCCACATCCCCAGCCTCTAATTTAGTTGTAGTTTTGAGGTAAATTAATATATATATTTTTTCCTCTGCATGTTCAGGATATTACCTCTCTCTGTATCTCATTCATAGTCACTAATGAGAAATTTGTTGTCTGTTCTTAGTATACTTCTGGGGTCCTTTGTAGACAATTCTTTATCGTAATGAATTTGTCTTTGTTCTCTTGTAACTCTTTATCTGTAACATTCTGCCCTATCTTTACAGTGGCCTGGTTGAGATTTACTTTTCTTCATTTTCTTTATCACGTGGTACCTATTTCCCACCTGAGGCCTTCCTGAAATACTCTCAGCCATCATTGCCTAACTACGGCACTTCCCTTACATCCTTTAGTCAGTCCTTCTGGAATTTCTATTACACACATAGTGGAATTTTCAATCTGCTCACCATGTCTTAATGACTTTCTAACATTTTCTGCTTTTTAATCTTTTTGTGCTGCTTTCTGAGTAAATGACTCAGGAATATCTTTCAATTCACAAATTTTCTCTTCAACTGTGTCGTCTGTAGACTTCCAACTATTTGAATTTGCTTCAATGATTTTTTTTTATTTTTAGGATTTATCATCATTTCCTTTTCATATGAACAGTTAATTATTTTGTTGGCTGTCTTTCTTAGTGTCCATTTTCTTCATGTGCTCAAGCATTTGGGTTTGCAGGCCTATTTTGAAGAGAAATATTTTTGTCCTTTTTCTTCCTCTGAACTTGCCTTGAACCCATTCCCTCAGGACCCCAGTCCCTAACCAGGCTTACTCCTGGCAGCTCAAGATTCCTAT